CATAGATGCCCTGGAGCATTTAGCTGTGGACTTCGTTTATGCAAGAGAGATTCAGCACCCCTAGAGGAGAATGTTGTGCTCTCATAGTTCAAACAAAACACTAGTTTTTAAAAATTAAAACCATTTAGAGATAAAATGTAAACCTAAAAATTACAACGTGTCAAGTTAGCCTTTCACATTCTGAACTAATTCCGTTCCGATTTCCTTTATCTGCAAACTTTCTAGTCTTTTTGTAACATATGTTATTACGGAAGAATTTACTCAACTTTTTATAACCTCAACTAAGAGTTGGTTGGGATTTGACTGTAATTTGCACTTGATTATTTTAGAGAAAAGCAAAAATAGCATTGTGCCTTGGCAGACAGCTACAACAGACATGCAATACCCACGTTTAAGATCGCTACACAGGAGGGAAGTGGTTGGTCAATGGAACTTTCACCGAAGCCAGCTTCCAGCCATGCGTTTAACTGCAGAGTGGCTAGAATCCCGACCTATAGGGCCAGGCTCCCAGTCTTTACTTGCCCTGTCACTTCTACCAAAACCCTGATGCCTCAGAGCTTAGATTTTGTGTCTGTGAAATGTGGGCTGTTGTGCACGTCAGGAAGTCTGACTTAAATAGCCAGTGAACTGTCCTGTGAGAACACAGCAGGGACTAGAACTTAAATTCAAGGTACCATCTGTCTTCTTGGGACTGGATGTGAATTTAAAAACGCTAAGATAAAACATAAATCACAATTTTATACAAAACGCGAATTCACTGTTGAGAAAAGTTAAGCTGGGAACGATGTGATTGTAATATCTCCCACTTTTACATGATCTGATTTATGTGTGATTACACATCTAGTGTTAAAGGCCCACATCGTTTGCACAAGATGAACCACAGATGCCTGTCTTTCATAGAATTTTGTTCAAAACCCAGACTGTGTGTGGTCACCACATAACAGCGGTGACACCTAAGTCTCAGTTAGTACTGACCACATGTGAGGCTCTGCTCCAGACAGCCAGCCAGATGCTATATTCATGGTGATGCCTGTTTCACTAGCGACAACAATGACACAGTTCAGGTGAGTCACTCAGCTAGTAAACCCTAACGCAGCAGAGAGGAAACCCTGTTTCCACTCCGTGAGGAAGGAACAGCAAAGCTGGATCCTCTGGCATGTATCGTCCTGGAGGCAGGGTGCTGAAAGGAGGGAACCTTTCAGGGAACTGAGGGCCGATCAGTTCCTCATCTTGACAAATGTTTGCTACAGCAGTTTCTGGCAAGAAGATAAAATGAATCGACAGAGTCAGTCAAAATACTCATTACCGGACATGTTTTCCTTGAAAAGTCACCTCTGAGATAAAACTCAGGGGGAGGCTATGGGGGGGGGGGGCCTACTTTCCTTGGTGAACCCAGCTGCGAGCCTGAGCTCCCCTTTCTGCTACACGGAGCGCTCTCTGCGTGCACAGGGCTATTCTGGGTCACAGGTATAGAGTGGTGTTTACTATTTCTGCAACTTTTCTGTAAGCTTAGAATTATTTCCAAAGAAAAAATGTGAGAACATAGCTCTTCGACTCCATCCCACGGAACGCAACCTCCTCTTTGTCTGTGGCTGATTTCCACTATGTCACCAGCTCCGCAGCTCCTGAGAGGGTGTGATTCCAACTTTAAGACAACCTTATCGGGTTTATCCCAGACAGAACCACAGGATCTTGTTACTGCAAACGAGCTCCTTACATTTTGGAAAAGGACTTTACAAAATACTGGGGG